ACAGCATATGATTAATATCTGTCACAACTTTTTACCAATTACTTAATAACAATCATGAGCATATTAATACGCTGAAAACAACTGTATACGCTGCAAGTGATTAATTAAATACACAAAAGTGACGAAATGAATTTCGTAACATAGCCCCCTCCTGAAGAAACCGAATGCAACTGGACTTGGGTCTACTAAAAACTTCGCTTGAAGCTTTATATAAGTTAGTAAAAAATCATTATTAAATACGATGAAGACAAATATAACTTCTTAAAATCATTTATTTTTGATTTGGCGATTGTGGCCACGACCAACATAATACATGTACAATATGTATACTCACCGTCAATGGAAACGCAACACCCTAATTTTAGGATGAAAATTATATACAGGTTATAACTATGTACCAAAAAAGTTAGGACATCTTTTACTTTGCCAAATCAGTTATTTAACGGTTGAATGAATTTCTTTCCATTACCAGAAGTTGCTTTTCAGCCCTCTTAACAGAATTCAAAATTTTCCATTTTTAATAAAATTTTAATAATATTTTGGGTTTCCAAGGTTTTGAAACTGTTAATCATAAGTATTGTTCTAAAAGGCCGGGAAAAAATCCTTCTTTCTTTACCAGATGTTATGCCTATATTTCCTCAAAATGACTGATTTTCATTGCTAATGTTAGAAATTCTCAAAATAAAGAAAAAAAGAGCTGCAGATGCAAATATACACTATATAACGACCCATCAGGTTCATGTGTTTCAATAGCATAAATGGCAGTTTCTTGACCGGAAGTCAAAAAGTTGCTACACTACGCCAGGTTAGAGAAAATTCGACCGCAATATCTGAAAAACATGTATTTTAAAATGCCCAAGAATATTAATTTCGCTTAGATTAAGACATTAATAAACTTAATGCATGGTAGAAATCGGGCTGCATTTTTTGTATATGGTGGGCTAGAATGTTTTCATTAAATGGTCGGAAGGGGGGATGTTATAAGATTAAACAGGTATTTATTTCTTTTTAAGGTCTAAAAATAACATGTAATGTTTAAAGGGAGCATTATTTTTTTTGTAAATTTACTTTTTACCTAAATATATTCATTTTTGATGTTATCATTAAACTTTTGAAGGTAACACATAACTCATAAAACATCCCCCCTTCTTGCTATCAGTCATTTTGAGGAAATATAGGCAGCACATCCGGTAAAGAAAGAAGGATTTTTTCCCGGCCTTTTTGTACAACACTTATGACTAACAGTTTCGAAACCTTGGAAACCCAAAATATTGTTAAAATTTTATTAAAAATAGAAAATTTTGAATTCTGTTAAGAGGGCTAAAAAGCAACTTCCGGTAATGGAAAGAAATTCATTCAACCGTTAAATAACTGATTTGGCAAAGTAAAAGATGTCCTAACTTTTTTGGTACATAGTTATAACCTGTATATAATTTTCATCCTAAAATTAGGGTGTTGCGTTTCCATTGACGGTGAGTATACATTATTAATCGTTATAGGTAACTCCTTATAAACCTTATCCTTATAAACCTTATTTCCTTATCTTTATAAACCTTATTCTTATAAACTTTATATCATTATCCTTACAGTGTATCCTTAACCTTATAAAGTCCTGAAGATTTGAATACTGAGCAGAAGTTGTGAAAAAATACTTGTATCATGGAAGGCGTCTTGAAAAACCGCAGTGACTCTCCTTCACATTTCTTTATATGCAGGTCGTGACGAATGGAACTTCGATCACAAGTATGACTGTCTAAACCAATGTCTCTCACATTTCACATGACACAGTTCAAGGCTGTCTGAAAATATTTAGAAAACTACGGCAGAAAAATGCACTGGCAAAATAGATTAACAGTATAACATATATATATATATATATATATATATATATATATATATATATATATATATATATATATATATATATATATATACTTAAGGGGGCTCTCTACACCACCAACGCAGGGAAGATTTTTATTGCATACATTCGCTTTCAATAGTGTAGTCAATATCCAAGAAAATAAATTCCCAAAGTACTAAGGTTTATTTTATATTAATTTTTTACACTAAAAATCATGTAACAGAAATCTATTATTTTTCACTTATTTCAATGCTTAAGGCTTTCAATTTTCTATAGCATTCCACCGTTGTGCAAACTTGAAATAAAATACAAAAACAACATAAATGAATGTTGAACATTTTTTATTCAAATCTACAAAAAAGAGAAAAAAAATTACAAAAAATTAGTTTCCAGGAAATGTGCCGGTTAGAATCCCAGAAAACTGTAAAAATATAAATGATATTTATAGTTAAGTAAAAGGAAAGAGAGAAATTGAAACCAGAAGTCTCTGTCGAGACTGAAGCTCTACTGGTTTGAACTTATAGCAAAGGAAGAGAAAAGTACTTAAGCAGCTGGGATTTGAAACTAAATAGAATAATGATCGTTGATAAAGTCTCTTTTTTATGTTCTTAGTGTAGTCTACTTGTGTGCCAAGTTATACTGAAATCAGACCAAAACTGTAGGAGGAGTAGCATTTTGAAAGAATTTCACAGAAATTTCTATTTTTAGTAACCACGGCAACACCATTCATCGAAATCAAAAACCGATATACAGAATTATGTATCTTAGTGTATTCTACTTGTTTGCCAAGTTATACTGAAATCAGACCAAAACTGTAGGAGGAGTAGCATTTTGAAAGAATTTCACAGAAATTTCTATTTTTAGTAACCACGGAAACACCGTTCATCGAAATCAAAAACCGATAAACAGAATTATGTATCTTAGTTAAGTCTACTTGTGTGCCAAGTTATACTGAAATCAGACCAAAACTGTAGGAGGAGTAGCATTTTGAAACAATTTTACAGATATTTCTATTTTTAGTAACCACGGCAACACCGTTCATCGAAATCAAAAACTGATATACAGAATTATGTATCTTAGTGTATTCTACTTGTTTGCCAAGTTATACTGAAATCAGACCAAAACTGTAGGAGGAGTAGCATTTTGAAAGAATTTCACACAAATTTCTATTTTTAGTAACCACGGCAACATCGTTCATCGAAATCAAAAACCGATAACTAGAATTATGTATCTTAGTTAAGTCTACTTGTGTGCCAAGTTATACTGAAATCAGACCAAAACTGTAGGAGGAGTAGCATTTTGAAAGAATTTCACAGAAATTTCTATTTTTAGTAACCACGGCAACACCATTCATCGAAATCAAAAACCGATACATAGAATTATGTATCTTAGTGTAGTCTACTTGTGTGCCAAGTTATACTGAAATCAGACCAAAACTGTAGGAGGAGTAGCATTTTGAAACAATTTTACAGATATTTCTATTTTTAGTAACCACGGCAACACCGTTCATCGAAATCAAAAACTGATATACAGAATTATGTATCTTAGTGTATTCTACTTGTTTGCCAAGTTATACTGAAATCAGACCAAAACTGTAGGAGGAGTAGCATTTTGAAAGAATTTCACACAAATTTCTATTTTTAGTAACCACGGCAACATCGTTCATCGAAATCAAAAACCGATAACTAGAATTATGTATCTTAGTTAAGTCTACTTGTGTGCCAAGTTATACTGAAATCAGACCAAAACTGTAGGAGGAGTAGCATTTTGAAAGAATTTCACAGAAATTTCTATTTTTAGTAACCACGGCAACACCATTCATCGAAATCAAAAACCGATACATAGAATTATGTATCTTAGTGTAGTCTACTTGTGTGCCAAGTTATACTGAAATCAGACCAAAACTGTAGGAGGAGTAGCATTTTGAAACAATTTTACAGATATTTCTATTTTTAGTAACCACGGCAACACCGTTCATCGAAATCAAAAACTGATATACAGAATTATGTATCTTAGTGTAGTCTTCTTGTGTGCCAAGTTATACTGAAATCGGACCAAAACTGTAGGAGGAGTAGCATTTTGAAACAATTTTACAGATATTTCTATATTTAGTAACCACAGCAACACCGTTCATCGAAATCAAAAACTGATACACAGAATTATGTATCTTAGTGTATTCTACTTGTTTGCCAAGTTATACTGAAATCAGACCAAAACTGTAGGAGGAGTAGCATTTTGAAAGAATTTCACAGAAATTTCTATTTTTAGTAACCACGGAAACACCGTTCATCGAAATCAAAAACCGATAAACAGAATTATGTATCTTAGTTAAGTCTACTTGTGTGCCAAGTTATACTGAAATCAGACCAAAACTGTAGGAGGAGTAGCATTTTGAAAGAATTTCACAGAAATTTCTATTTTTAGTAACCACGGCAACACCATTCATCGAAATCAAAAACCGATATTATGTATCTTAGTGTAGTCTACTTGTGTGCCAAGTTATACTGAAATCAGACCAAAACTGTAGGAGGAGTAGCATTTTGAAACAATTTTACAGATATTTCTATTTTCAGTAAATTTGAAAAATTGTTTACAGACAGACGGACAGACAGACGGACGGACGCCGGACGCATTACTATCGCATAAGGTCTTCTGGTCTCTGACCAGTAGAGCTAAAAAATTGAAAAATTGAGCAAAATATTAAAACATTACAAAAATCATGGTATGAAAGATCCTATTAAAGAGTTATCTTTCTTTATTTTACATGGACTCAAATATATTGGTATCAATTTCCATATTCAATGATAAAAAATTGATAATACAAAGAATTATTTTATGCACAAATACATAAAAAAGAAAGTATTTGTCATAATGATCATGATGATTATACAAGAAAAAGCCACTACAGCTACAATGAAATATATATATATATATATATATATATATATATATATATATATATATATATATATATATATTATAAAAGCAAAAAAAAAAAAAAAAAAAAAAAAAAAAACAATACACATGCCACACAGAGAGAGGACAAAAAGAATGCCAAAACACAGATTGCAAATAAATAGAACACATACAAAGGAAAGACAAAACAGAAACATTTGAACTGAATAAATAAAAAAAAAAGAATTTAAGAGAAAACAAAAACAGGACAAGAGACAAATAAAGCGGAAGTGAAGCACACATAGGACACACAAAACAGAAGAAAACTTGAATGATACATGAATATTTGCAGGATGAAATGAAAAAAATGTGATGTAATAAGCATAAAATGAGTATAGTTACCTGTCAGGTCTTTACAGAATATGCTATCTCCAAGACAATGGAATCATACTTACATTTATTACTTGTCTTACCTTTGTTCAATTTTCTGATACCCCTGTTATAATATATTAAATATGTGAAAGTTATTAAAAGTACATTCATATATATTTTTAAAAAAAGAATAAAATCATATCTTTGCAAATAAAACAAACAGCTTGATTCAAATTCCATGTTAAGAAGAATAAAATCAGAAAGAGAAATGAGTGACCAACTTTGCAAACACAGACTTTGTTCTGGTCACCCTTACCACTCCTTCAGAGTTAGGTTCACTCAAAATATTCTCAATTCCCTCTGGTCCTCCTCTTTCATATGCCATCTTCAAATGTTGGTATGACAAACCAGACTGGGCTATTTTTCTTTACATGTAATTTGAAACAATTTTTGTGAAAGGTTGCAAAGATTTCAATCATTTATTTGTCTTTGATTTGTACTCTATTGAAGATATTACAAACTGTTCACTAAAACTGTGTTTCAATAAAATGTCGCAGCTTATATTCAAATTTACAACCAATGATTGCAATGCCTGCACATCTTCTCGGGCTGAGTGGGCCTTATAAGACATGGACAAACAGTCTTTAACTAAAGTTTCCAGCTTGTAACACTTCCTACCTGGCAAAACTTCTTTTACAACATACAAACTGTCAACAAAACCCTAAATAGGTAATGAACATGAACAATTTAAACAGGCTTTCATCAAAATTATGGAATCAAATGCACGTCCATTGTGACAAACAAGTAAGGGTTTGTTAAACTGTTTCAGCCACTGAACAAACTCTGCTTGACATCTTTCTATAGATACACTTTCAACCTTTTCTTTGTGATGATACATCTCCCCATTGACAATATGTAATCCACTTACAGCTGTCACACCTGGTGTTATTGGTGATTTAGGAATAACATACCTGTTAAAATTCTCTTCTTCAGTCACACATGCCAACTGAGTGATGTCACAAGAAGTACCTTTAGGAAATATTAAAGTATTCTTAGTTTACCAATATTTATGATGTAAATGTATATTTTAAGCCTTTTAGAAATATTTTGACAAATTGCTCTGGTACATTGCTTATGTATTTTTGATTAATGCTAAGATAAGTATTATCTACCCAAGCCAGTTGTCTCGAGGTCAAAGTAAAGGAAAGCATTCTTTCCATTTTCCACAGTTTTGAGTGTTGGTGGCACTGTTGCATCTGGTATTTCCTGTGTGGCCTCTGAGGATGTTGTAGGGTTTAGGTCTACAGCAGGTTGATATGTCGTTCCTTCCTTTACTTCAGCTGTTGATTCCTTCAATTTTTAATACATACATGTAGCAATTTGGACACGAGTGTCCTATTCATTTAAACTATGAATACAAATTGTGTTATATTAAAAACATAGGTACCTAACACATTGTTGACATTAATACACAGATTATATGAGAAATTTTTTAACATTTACCTGTTTAGCCATTGATGACTTCAGTTCATAGCGTCGTTTTTTGTGTGCTGTGCTGGCCTTTCTATTCTTCTTGTACTGCCTTTTCTTTGATGTCCGAGTAAGAAACAATTCTATATTCTTTCCTGGTGACAGTAATGAATGATCATAAACCTACAAATATAGTTAAGTTTATAATATAAAGGAAATCATATAATTCTGTGAAAAAATTAAAATATATCAACATAAATACAAAATAAAAATAAAGACTATCTCGTAACATAGATTAAAATTTTAAGAATACACAAACTTTGGAAATAGCATCATTGCCAATATTTTTCTGTGCAACAGCTGCTGCAACCCTGAAGGCATGGACTCTCAACCTCCATAAAAGCGGTTCTTTGGGTTTTTTGGAGAAAACAATGTTGTTGAAACTCTCATTTCCTTGAGTGCTGCCTATATTCAGTAATTCTTCAGCATTCTTGCTGAAAGCATCAAAAATATGTTGGAGGTCCTTTATTAGATCTTCTCCAGTTAAATATTTCCCATAAGGCAGGTTTCTTGGTTTGTATGATGATGGTTGTTGTACAAAACTGAAAAGAAGTTGTTTTTTTTTTAAATATACATGCACACTGAATATTATCATACCTTATTGTTTAAAAAAAATGATTTTAATTTTTTTCATCATCATTAATTCTTTATTGGGTCTTACCCACACCAGTTTCCACATTTAGAGTGGTCCCCTGATACATGTAACGGTATAGCACACAAATTGCTCTCCAAGGACTCCCTGTCATTATTTCCCTTTACAGCATAGGCGAAGCATTTGGTGAGGTGTTTGATGGCTTTCGGTCCTAATGCAGAGTACTTCTTCTCTTTTCTTAGTTCAAACAATCTGTTGGTAAAGTTCTTTTTTGTGTGGTTAAAATCACAAACTTTTTCAATATTCTCATCAAACACTGCCTTTGCTCTAGAAAAAAAACAATAGCAAATTAATATTTAAAGAAATAAGTATGAAATTTTTATTAATGTTTGCAATTGTATTTTTAGTGTAATATTCCAAAACTTTCTATTAGCAAAGTACCTGGAAAATGTTGTTGAATCATATCCATAATCATTTTTCACATGGAAACCTTTCTGCTTCAAGTCTTGCAACATCTGCATTAAAACATGAATATTCATTGGTTTTTAATTAGTGCATTGCCAGATTTATTTTCACACAAGCAGCAATTCACTGCTATTTATATTTTATCTTTTGAAAAGAGGTCTTAAAGAAAGCTTTACCTCTATCGCCATATCGGATTCCATCGCTTTGGATGACTTGTCCCAGTTTTTTCTGCAATCATGTTCTTTTACAGGGCCATCTTTCGTACTCTGGCAAAATCTACATGTTTTGCATCTATAAGAATAGGCTACTATTTTCCCTGTATTAAATCCAATCATGCTACCGTGACCTGCAATTTGTGAATAAAAATTTGAAACATATATATATATGTAACATATGTACCACATAAAGTACAGGCTCGTCCATTTCTGAGAAGTACCTGTGAGACTGGCATAGTTCCTGCCACTTCCTCGGGTCTGCCATCCGGCTTCAAAACTTACAGCCTCCGCACGGTCAGAATTTTCACAGCTGAAGTTTCAAGAATGACTGTATATATATATATTTGTTGTACAAAGTATATATATATATATATATATATATATATATATATATATATATATATATATATATATATATTTATATGTGTGTAACATTATTTTTAAAAATGGAGGTTTTTCCATGAAATTGTTTATTGCCTAAAAATTAAAAATATTTAGAAATTATATAAAAATCAATTTTTAAAATCCAACCATAATTAAGAATATTTTCTTACCGGTCTTTTTCTTCTCTTAGTGCGTCTTGGCATGTGTCGTCTGCTACCGCCTCTAAAGCTATGCCTGCCTCCCTTTCTCTCTTTTTTAATGTTGTTGGTGAAACAGATGGTAGATCTAGTGCGCAAAGCAGAGTATTCACAACTGTTTCACCAATCCCACAAAAAAGAATTGCTGAAACAGGTCAAGTCAATTATTAAAGCTTCTGCTTTTTGTAGATATAAACAATGATTATGAAAAAAAAATTGTTTTTCTTTTGAAAGATTATGTTTACCTGTACCCAATTTGGAATTCATATCCCATACATTTTGGCCATGCCTTTTCCCAGTAGGGACAAGTGTAACATTTAGACACTGTGCACATTTCATGTGAAGTAAACTACCTGTATCAAGAGTATATCTACATGTTAGTTTTATACAAATACTATACAACTTCATTATTAGCAATATATATTTTATCAGTTTAAAATATTACTTATTTTAATTACTTACAAGCATTTGTGGTGTTGAAAACAATATGATACAACTTATAATATATATTTATACAATGTTATCATAGACTTATTAGTATTTTCTTGTATTTTAATAATACCTAGTCCATATCGGGTATCTCCTATGCAAGAGGACAACTGTAAAGGTTCTCTGCAAGAATGACACCCTTTACCCAGCTCTTGGATCAAAAAAAATAATGTCTATGATGTGCCGCCCTTGCAAGGGAAAGACATTTCCACCTAAATGGTGTATATAAATATATTTAATATGAAGGCATGTTATTTAAACTTGTTTACATAACAGTTTACCAATGCAAAGGGAGAGAGAGAGACAGAGAGATCCAGGTTTCAGATTCATATATTTATTCAATGCTTACCATTTCTCTCAGGTTCTTCTTCGTCACTCTCTGATGAACTACATGTATATTCATCTGTGTCCTCCTCCTCCTCCTCATACTCAGGAACATCTGTGTCTGGGCCTTATAAAGTATTGACATTGTATAAATTTTTCATATGAAAAAAAAACAATGAAGTTACTGTATTTTATTAAATATATGTACACATTTTATTTGAAATGCTTTTATATAAATTTATCATTCCTTGGAATATAAACACTTACATGAATCAACAATAGATATATAAGAATGATCATGAAAAACATGGTCCTCTGTAGACAATGTGGTAGAGTCCTCTGGTTCCTCTCCTCTTGAAAATCTTCCATTGTTTTTGCAACCTATCAATTTTTAACAGTTGAAATCAAGTTACATTAAAATAAATCAGATTTCATCCTTCAACCGCAATGTAAATAAACTTATAGTAATGAAATATTAGCTAAAACAAATCTCCAATTTATTTGTTTATTAAATTGTATGATACCTTTATCTAACACACGGTAAACAAGCTCTAGTGTGAACTATTAAAATATTTTCAGGCTATACTTCTGAATTCAAAGTTTTAATTAAGCAAAACATACTCACCGTACTCATCAAACGTGTATGTATGGTCGTGAGCCGTCGATGACATTTTCTAGTAGAGTTTCAAAGCAAGAAACCCTGGTTTCGTTATAAAATCACGTTCTTCGCGCAAAAACAGCTGATAATCAATGTCCGTAAAATGCTTAAGTAAAGGGCAAAGAACATAGTCTTTTCAAAACGTTTTGGTGATTTAAATATTAACACAGAGGAGTTCCAATTAGCGGTGTATAGTGAATTTGTTCACACCATTATCAGTATATTTCGGATCAAAATGGCGTTTCGAACGGAAGTCAGCCATATTGTGACGTCGTAGGGGTCCCCCTTAATGTTATAAATAAGAGAGGAATGGGAGGGTGGGATTTTTAAGCTAAGAGACAAACTACACCCACCTCTCAATCCAACTGTAACAAATATTGTGACGTCAAAAATTAACAGCAATTACGTCATGTATAGCATTTCGCGCACAAATCTAAGGCGCGGATTTGAGAGATTGTAGTAACCATCGCTATAATAATTGGATTTATTTCGTAAAGGAAGTAAATCTTATTATTAAAGACGATTAAGACAAATATAACTTCTTAACATCATTTATTTTTGATTCGGCGATTGTGGCCACGACCTACATAATACAATATATACTTCATTAATCGTTATAACGTAACTCCTTATAAACCTTAAAATCCTTATAAACCTTCTATCCTTATCCTTATAAACTTTATATCATTATCCTTATAAACATTGTATCCCTATCCTTATAAAGTCCTGAAGATATGAATACTGACAACATTCAAGCTGGTACTGGGCTAGCAGATACTCAGCAGAAGCTGTGAAAAAAATACTTGTATTATGGAAGGTGTCTCGAAAAACCGCCAAATGGTTGTCCGTTGAAAATGAAAACCACCGCCAACGAAGTTAGGTGGAATGAGAGACGCAAAAGTATGTGTAGGCGTGGCCTTCTCTGAAGCTCAAACTACATATTTAACCTTTTATAGAAAAACATATTCTTGTATGGCCATTTGTAAGTTGTAAGCAAGAAACATTCACCGAAATACGACAGGTGAACTCCATCACTACTAAATATTTCATTTGAATCCCAAGTAATCTCTAGGTATTTGATAAAGAATCCACTGTTGACGGTAACTAAGTGATTCATAAAATTATTATCGAACAGTAGCAAGATTTTGAGTTTGAATTCAAACGCCATGAATTTCTTTGCAAAATATTGGACCAACCAATTGTTGTGTTGGGGAGTAGCTCACTAAGTTTTTTGAGTGTTGAACACATAATTGACCGTAGTTGCAACAATGGAATTAAAACCTTATCATTTCCTCCACAATGAATAATTAAAATTTCTGGAGGTGATTCATAACGTAACAAAAGATTTATGTTGCAGGAAGACTTTTTGGTCCAACACAAGGTCAAAAATTTCATACCTCCCTTTCCCTGCCAAAACATTCTGTAATGTCTTCGTTTTAAACCTAAATCCACACCATCAAAGGATTTTCTAGGTAGTTATTTGCCCATTTAAAATAATAAAAATCCAAATAATTTGTTTATTTTTTGAAAAATCAATGTGGACATCACTAAATCCTAATATACCTTTTGAAGGCATCTGAAATTTTAACCTTGCTTTTTTTATTTCTGTTTCTGAGTGACCAAGAAATCTGTAAGATCTGTGCACCAATACGGAAAGAGTTTATTTAATATTGAAGAGAATTAAAACCTTGTTAGAGGACTACCATCCATATGTTTAAATAACTGACCGTCAAATTTTGGCTTCATGCTGATGTACCTTTTCAACCAGTCAACTGGACAGACAGGGGCGTAGCTAGACAAAAATGATGTGCACGCCAAAAAAGGCAGGGGGTCTGGGGGCCGCCTTGAGGCCCCCAGTGGGTCCAGGGCGAAGCCCTGGTGCTTAAATTCATTTAAACAAGTCTCACACCAAGCCTGGGTTTTCACATGAGAATGTCATAAAAAAGGGTTTTTAAATATATAATAGTTAGGATATGAAGTATATACGATAGAAAGACTACAAAAAATAATAGATCTAAATATTTAAAAAATAGTTGGAATATTTTACAAAATACAGTGCATTGTATTTTTGTATATTTAAAAATTTTTTAGGATTTTTTGAAAATAATTTTTAAATAATGAAAATAAAACAAAACAATTTCAATCCAGCAAATTTAATTTCAACAAAAATAAAATCATATTTTAGCCTCTACCTAAAACAAAATCCATTTTTTTTTAGCATGAAAAATTGTTCCATTGCTTTTTCTATATCAATTTTAAAATCTCTGTGAATATGGAGAAGTCCAAGCGATGACAATCTGTCATTTCTAATAGTTGAACTATAACGTTTTCATCGCCGCAAAACGCTGAAGGTCTCTGTATGCGCTTGCTACCGGCATGGTTTGATATGAATAAAAGACTTATTGTTGGATATAGCGCTGAATTAATCTTCTCCATGTCAAAGTGTGCGCGGTTTCTTGTCTTGCGCCAAAGGATATCCTGATATTTCGCCAACGGGCAACTTCTCTCCTAAACTCTTCCAAAGACAATATATATGAACTAGAAACATTTATAAATATATATCAATTACAAATATATGGGAAGAAGGTGTTGCGCCATGTGTGAGATTTAAGAAGAAAAACAAGTTATAAAACGTGATCCACAAATGGATAATACATTGAAATGCGTACTGTGGAGTATCCTTGTGCTGAACTGTTTAAGTATTTCCACCGTCTTGGCATACTTTCAGTCCACTTGTAACGGTGCAGCCAATCTAATGCCACTTCTGTAACAATTCTGCAAAAAATAATCATCTTGAATTTCCTGCCTTCAGCATCTCAATTAAAAGTTTGCACTCCTTGACTGCCTTAAAAAATCATTCGACTCCCTGAAATAAAGAGAAAGGTGAACAGTGCTTTGTAGAAAAGCAGCATAGGTCATGATAAAATCAAATCTCGTAACTGCGTTAACCTGCTGTCCTGCTTTATCATCACCTTGGTGAGATGCAAACTCTCAAGCGCTTATAAAAGCAGGAGATGTCTTGAAAGTGAACAAAGCATCCGCACCTTGTCCATCTTGTCTCACATAAAGTCCGAAGCTTAGTTCTCTTTTCCATTTTTTCTATGTTGCCTCGTCTGCTTCCATATTTATGAAAGAAATAATATACCTTTTTATAATTAAAGAAAATGCATTTAAAATATAATTCATTAATTTGATAATTTTCAACTGTGCACAACGGCTAAGTTCAGACATGGGATTTGCAATTCATATAGCGAAATTGGAACAACCTAAAAATATTTTGGAGTACTGTACTTCCATACACTTGGCTCTCCATTTTGAGCTCTCATTTTTGCAATATCTATACCAGTTTTTGAAGAGTTTAAATCAAAACCTAAATGATCACCTTTTGTGCTAATTTAACAAAAAGTTTATCAGCTTTGAATAGATATTTCATTGCTGAAAGCTAATTCAAGTCTGTGGGCCAAACAGAAAGCTATCATCTCGAGTCGCAGTATCTGTGGTTTAATAACGTCACAAACATTTTTGTTGCAATTGCATATTAGATGCCCAAATCACATAATTTCACAATTTTTGGCATGTGAGGCAACAACCCATTTTGTTCTATTTTCTCCATAACAAATTTATACAAATGCTCTGAGCATGTGGATTTTGGCTCACCAATGCAAAAGAATTTGGGTCAAAATATGACGATTTTTGTGAACACCATCAATGTGATGAATATTGGCTCTTGTTCGCCATTATAGAGTCATCTGTGCTTCCGTCCATTGTTTTGTATGTGTAAAGTGAATTTTCCCTAAGGTGACGTTTGATGAAAAGAGTTTGACACTAACGAAAAGTTTTTCTTTTTGCATTCATCTGAAATATAAACTATAAATGATGCAGCAGCTTGATGATTATTGTAAGTGTCTCCAACATCAAGTCCTTTGGCCCTATCTAAATCATCCAACCATGTAAAATCTGATAGTGGGCGGTGATTTTTTACCAAAGCATGAATATTCCTAAACATGTTTTCGATTCTTTTTCTCTGTGCCTCGTTCATTAGTATAAGTGTCTTGTGTGCAACACTAGCATTCTTTTCTGCTTCTTTTCGTGAATTAATCACCTTTTCTGCATTTAAGTGAGTTGATGACTTCTCATGGTCTGTGATCGTTGAAGAACGGTAATTTTTGGAGCCCGTAATGAACGAATGTTTGTGAACATGATTATTTACAATGTTTACACCCACTTCGATGCACCATGAACAAGTCATCCCCTTTTCTGCGTATAATTCAACCTTATGAAAAACCGATCCGTTTTCCACGTCTCTTGAAATTCACGATTACCTCTAGTGTCTTCATAATTATTTTTAGCTGTTAATGGTTCCATGCCTTTCTTTTCTTCCCGGGACAGTTACGCCATTTAAAAACTTGATCGGCCATGTGGCCATTTTTGTTGTTTGTGTGACCTTCACCCTGCGCATCCCGAGTTTACACGGAATCTTTTAAAAATTTTTATCGAGCACGAATTTTTTAATAATAAATTTTATAAAAATGCACGAATAATTTTTTTCGGTCCAGACAATTTTTTACCGGCCTTGCCGACAGGACCGACGGATTTCGACAAGTCTGGAATTCTTTGTTTGACTTAAACATACGGACGCCCCTTTCACAAGTTGGTCAGTTTTTGAGAAAGGAACTCTAAGCTCTACGAAATTTTCCCCAGAATTTTCATTTTTTCTAAATTTCACATGTTCAATAGAAATAATTTGATTTGCTTGATTTGAACTACAAAAGGTAAATTCACCGATTCTAAAAAAAAGCATGATAGGCTACCAAAATGCCGTTGAAAAAAAAGAAGTTGGAACACACTAAATTTGTTGCTTTTATAAGTTTCTCAAGCATGTGTTTTGTGATAGGAAGTCTACAATCTTTGGAATGGTTTGACCTTTTGATTCCTTCCAATAACTTCCTAATAAGAAAGTTTTTGTGTTGTCACAGAAACCCAATATTTTGCATTTGAAACTTATTCCTGATATATAGGATGAAATAGTAGAGTGAGCCAAACCTTGCAGGGATAAATGAGCAATAAACATACAAATTTTGGAACAGGCGGGGGCCAAACAGTACAAAGTTCATACAAAATTCTGAATTGCTCAAAGCTTTTTAGACTAGTAGAGTATGTTTGCCTTGTATTTACTGATACTGAATTAAGTGTCAAGCGTTTAATTTCAGTTTCAAGATCATTTTCCTAAAATCTTCTGGAATAGGTGTCGGATGTTGATCGGAGTTGGGGACAAGAA